GCAGCGATGAGCTCGGTCTGATCGATGGCGGCGTAGGTCTTGGCGAGGTCGAGGAGTTGCTCGTCGGTCAAGTCGGGCTTTTGACAGGCCACTAACGTCCTCGATAACTCCCACACACCGCGGTGCTGCGCTTGAGACAAGGTCTCAATCGACGGGCGCCCTTGGTGCTCGACGGGGATAGGAGGATCGGGGTAAACTAACGCCCACAAAAGTGGGTCGTTAGCCTCCCAATCTTGGGCCGCTTCGTCGTTGACCATCGACCGGTAGATGATCCAGCCCTTGCCGTCGGGGTCGGGCTTCGTCGTGTCGTCCTTCAAACTGGCCCTTAAGTCGTCGGTAACCGGCTTCTTTACTGGCCAATACCGTCTAGGTCCCACCCAACGGGGCTTCGACGAGTTTTGGGATCGATACTTCTCCAAGTGGATAGCATCGAGGAAGGCCCCGACTCCGATATACTAAGTGGCCATAAACGGACATCAAACAGCGGGGTTAGTTGACAGTGATTAGGGAGTTACGACATCACGTAGCACTCACCTCGTCAGACAACCAGTACGGGTAGCAGAGCTCGTCGCACTTGTTGGCAGCCTCCTTGTTACCGTCGAAGCAGTAACGCCTCCATACCTTCCATCCATCGGTCTCGATATCGGGCTCATCTGGGCCAGTTTGGGGAAGGACCGGGTATCGACGAGTATCGGGAGGGTCGGCACAGTGCAGCGAGGGGACAAATAACACCCCGGTTAACAGGGTGTAAATCGACGATTTGACGGTCTTGTTCGCCGGACTGTTTGCAAAGTGCTCCAGTCGTCGATCGGCAAGCTGTAAGTACCCAGACCAAGGGTAAGTCAGTCAACTGCCATATAACTGCTCGATAACCACGCTGTTTTTGCCCTGAAAAAAGACCTACCATCCCAAATCGTCGGCGCTGCCACACAGCGAACGGCTTGCCTCCGTTCTCCGCAATCGCCGGTTGTTTGCCCACTCGTGTGGCACAATACTGGCAGATAGCGGCCCGTATCGCGTCGTCGTCGTCGATTGCGCCCATCTTCAATGGCCTCCATCCATCCTTGACGGTGGCGAGACATTCTTCGATGAATGGAGCCCATCTAAATGCCGTATAACCGGTCAGTTACTGGATAGTTATTAGGTACTTGAAAGGCCGATAACAGGAACTTACTTCGCCGACCCAACCTTGACCGCCTTCCAATCCGGACGCCACGCCGAAACCTCGACATCACCGTTGGCGAGTTCGATATCGGCCTTCAAACTGCCGTCTTCCATGGGGAGTGGCCAGTCGTTCTCGACCAGATATCCTTCGTCGTCGTGGTTGTCACGGAGGTGCCTGCCCCAGTGACACTGCATGCCGATAAGCTTCTTGACGGCGTAATGGACACCGGCCTGATGACGGGGGAGGAAGGGGGCAGTTAAACATCAGTTAAGTGACAGTCTCAATGTGTGATTGCAACGCACGTCTCGGTGTGTCGCTCGCGGGGGTCTCGACCTCTTCCCGGTGGGCGATGTCGCACTTGTAGCGGCCTGGTTAGAGGTCCCCGATGGGCCCGCTACGGAGGCCTGAGGAACATCGCTCGGGGGCATACCGACAAGGACACCACGGAGAACCTTTCGAAGACCTTCATCGTTCTTGATAGCGGTCTTCAAATCGGCCATAGTGATGCCGGTTACCGGGGTGTTTTGGGCCGGTTGGGCAGGAGCGGGAGCAGCCGCGGGTGCTGGGTGTGCTGGATAGCCGCCAGCGTCGGCTTCGAGAGCCTTGATCCTTTCGTCGAGCTTTTCGTCCTCGACTGTGAGCTGGGCTCGTAGATGATCCTGGACCATATGCATCGCCCTAACCCACTGATAACTGCTCGCTATCTCCCCTGTCAGAGCCACGATTTCGTCCAGTAAAGCCGTTTGCGTATGGATCACCGGAACAAGGCTCTTGATCGTCGGATTCTGGCCGACGGGAGGCAAGGCCTTTCGCTTCTCGAGAACAGCGTGATAACGGGCGGCTAACCGGCTGGGTAGCACCTTGACTGCGTCTTTCACTTGATGATTGGTGACTAGACGTCCGGGTTCCCTCATAGGCCCAAGGTCCTGTGAGGGAATAAATGGCGATTAACTGTCGTGTAAGTGTCCAGATTAGAGGGGGTTTAACTTACGGTCTCGGTTCGGTTCTAGCAAACGTCGCGAAACAGCCCAGTAAGTCTCTACTTAGTGACACGTTTATACGGAGTTATGGCGCTGACTACGTACGACTTTGTAGGTCGCAGCACGAAGGTCGGTAAAGGTCGCCTTGCGTTTGAGGTTCTGAAAGAATACATAACCAGATAGTTAAGGGAGGGTTAGGAGACGCATAGCAACACTCATAGTCGATACTCACCTCTCTTTGAATCGCTCGCAAAGCTTCCCTGTCCTCCGCTGCCTTCGTCTCGGCAAGCTCTCTAGCAGCAATCTATATCGGGCAGTTAACGGTCAGGTAAGTAGGCCTTTGTGGAGGTGAAAGTAAGGACTTACCTGCTCGAGAGTTTCGAGCTCGGGACTCCGACTTGTTTGGGCGGCCGGGCGTTGGCGTGCGACCTCTAAGTCGGAACAAGGAGCGCCACAACTCGTCAGTTATAGCTCGGTTAGAGGCAGGTTGAAGTGACATAAGCGTGGCTGGCTCACCATCTTCATCATCGCTCGACAAATCGCTCAAGTCATCGTCGTCGAGAGTAGGATCAATACCGTCGGCCACCAGGTCTACATAAGCACTCCCCACAAACACGGGGGATACCGGTCAGTTAATTGACAGTTGAGAAGCACTTGACGCGGTTGAGAAGCTTACCAACAGCCTGCTCCCTCTGCTTCCCCTTGTTCTTTTTGACTGACGAGAGCAAATAGATAACAATCAGCTAACTAGCTATCGATCACCCTGATAGAGGCCGGATACAAGACTGGTAAAACTTACGGGGAGCGTAGGCTTCGACGCTGTTCCCCTCCCGGTCCTTGTGTGCCCATCCCTGACATCAGTGAGTTAACGGGGCAGTTCATGGGGAGATAAGGAGTACTTACAGAACCCCGCTCCGACTGCTCCCCCGAACCGGACATTGTCCGTTCGGACCGTGTTTTTACCAGTTGAGCTTCTTGGCTTCTCGATGACGGGTTTTGACGGTTCTAGGGGTGGTGCGTTAACTGGCGTCTTTCCGGGCCGTTGGTGAGTCGTAAGAGAGTCGTTAGGGGGTCGTCAAAGCGTGGAGAGATGTCTAGATGTGTCTGGGTGAAAAGTCCCTATCGTAGTAGTAGTTAGTAGTAAGTTTATTACATGCTTCTCGAGACGCGAGGGTGTAGGTGCTAGAACGCGATAAGCGCGTCGCGTCAAGAGACGTAAAAGCGCGTCGGGCGCTAGCGAGCTGTGACGCGCCCGTTAATTGAGGGCCTGCTTGGGGTACGCTAAGAGGCAGTTAGGATTGGGCAGTTACACGCGCGCATAACTGCCTTTTACCGGTCCCCCTTGCCCCGCCGTGAGGTGGATGTCGTCCCCGGATGTAAAATAAACTTCCGACGTGGAGAGGAAAGAAACTCGCCGACGATGACACGAATATGATGATGATCGATGAGCCTCTGATGGGTTTGATCGTCTTCAACCTCTTTGACCACTACGACCTCAAAAGGTATCAAACTAGGTCAGCCAGGTCAGAAGCAATCCGAGGTGAATCTCCGTTGAATTCTGTACAGCAAGGCAACTTTGTCGCTGACGACCCGCGTTGGCGTTCACATCTCTGCAGATCGATCAACTCGATATCGCGTCGAACCCTTTCTTCCACTCACTCACACACTCATACCACAATCCATCACACAAACCATACACATTCACATTCACACACAATTCCCTCATCCGTATGTCCTTCTCACCTTCTTTCGTTCCTCCGCTCTCTCGTCTCGTCTCTTCTCTCGTCGCTCTCTTTCCTCCTCTTCTCTCCTGTCGTCTCGTCTCGACGTCTCGATATCTCGTCTTGATCGAGATGATCTCCCATCGCCAAAATCCGACCCGATGAACGGCGGGCTCATACACCGTGTCATGCGAATACGACGATTCGAAGAAGAAACAAAGGGTCTACGATATGGATCAGCCCGACCGGCTTGCATAGAGAAAAGAAAAGAAAAACTCGTACGGACAAAGGGCTTCTTCTCGATCCTCGTCTCTTCCCGTACCCTTTACATTCCCCTCGTCTTTCCCTTTCGTTCTGCGAAACCCTCGAAACGATCGTCGCTTCCCTTTCGCAACAATAACAAATCATACGATTTGGATTACCCACACGATTTTCCCCTTTCTTCCCCTCAGTCCCACGCACCCTTTCATCGACCAACGACAAATCCGTGATCTAGTAATCTAGAAATCAAACAACCTTTCACCATGTCTGAACCTCAAGAACCTATCACCACCGGGACCGGTAACGAGACGGCTACAGCTACAGTCCCGACGCCAACCACCGCTTCGACGAACAAGAGTAAACGGGATCGATCGGGTTCTCCTGACGAGGACGTCGAAGAACGGAGCACCAAGCGAGCTAATACCAATACCGGTGTTACTGCGAACGACCAAGTTCAAGAAGAAGAAGAGAGAGGTGAAGAAGAAAGGGCCGAGATGAATGATCAAGAGGTCAACAAGAAGGAGGACTTGGAAGGACAGGCTACGGGCAGCGTGCCGATGCAGGTCGATGTGTCGGCTTCAGGAGGAAGGGTCAATACCGGGTGAGCGCATTGCGTCTATGGTGATAGACAATACCTACGCCGTAGGCTAAAGATTCCTCTCCTTCTCTCTCCTTCTGCTGTGTCTTTTTTCTTCAATTCACCCCGCCCACTCTGAATCGGCATCGCCCTACAGCTCCCAACTTCCTCCCGCACACGAATCCCTCCCCCCAACTCCTCAGACGGCCCCTCCCCATTCTGCCGGGTCTCATCCTCCCGGGTCGGCCCATTCGACCGGGGCGGATTCTCAAGCTTCGGGGAACCAGGTGATCAATATGCGTTGTCTGATCGTGACGATGGATGCGAGCGTGATCATCGGGAAGGGTGGGAGACATATTGCCGAGATCAGGGTGAGTCGTGTCTTCCTTGTTCTTCTGTTCGATTTCGTAGTCCTTTGCTCGGCATTCACAGCTTTTCGAAGGATGGTTGGGAAATTCGTGAATAGGGTGAAGGTGCTGATCATGCTTGCTCACTGTGCGTCCCTGCGACATAGAGCCAAGCCAATGCCCGCGTCAACATTTCCGAATCCATCCCTGGAAACCCCGAGCGGATCCTCAGCGTTCAAGGCGCTCTAGATGCGGTTGCCAAGGTCAGTTCCCCCTTGCTCTTCCTCTACTACAACGGACTTGTACCTTTTTGTTCTGATGGGACGTTTCCCGCTCGACTTGTCGCGCGATTTGCGACTGGCAGGCCTTTGGACTGATCGTCAGGCGGATCAACGATGAAAACTTTGGAGAGCCGAGTATGCCGGGAAGTCGGCCGGTCACGATCAAGTTTATGATCCCGAACAGCAGGATGGGCAGCGTGTGAGTTCCGAGCTCGATCGAGGGATCCGTTTGATTCGGGTCGATACTGATACTGAAAACCTGATCTGACGTCGATCTGATTTGATCTCCGCGCGGCAGGATCGGAAAGGGAGGTAGCAAGATCAAGGAGATTCAGGAGGCCAGTGGAGCGAGGTTGAACGCTAGCGAGCAGATGTTGCCAGGGAGCACCGAGGTCAGTCCCTGCAAAAATCCCCATGCACGTCCTAACCTTCCCAGTCATGCTGACGCTTGTTTACGTTTCACTTCGCAGCGAATCCTCAGCGTCTCTGGAGTCGCCGACGCCGTCCACATCGCCGTCTACTACATCGGGACCATCCTGCTCGAATACCAAGAGAGGGCGGGGCACAACGGAGCCGGCTCGGGAGCTTATAGGCAACAAGGCGGGTCGAGCTCGAGCCACAGTCACGCTGGAGTGGGCGCGCCTCGACAACCCTCGGTCATCGCTCCTGGTCCTGGGTCGGCCGTGCAACAATTTTGGATCCCCGACGAGTTGGTCGGTAGCAGTGAGTCCAGAGCGTTTGTTTTCGTTTTTTATGCTGCAGGGCCCAGTGGCTGATATATATATATATATTATTTGGGGAATGACCCGTAGTCATCGGCAAGGCTGGGATCAAGATCAACGAGATCCGTACGCAATCCCAGTGTCACGTCCGAGTGACCGATCCGGGCACGCCTGCTACTCCTGGGGGGGTTGTCAACCCGGGCGAGAGGTTGATCATCATCAGCGGACATCCTACCAATCTGAACATGGCTGTGGGCATGTTGCATGCGGTGAGTCGTCGTCGATCTCGCCCCCGTACCGCACGGGGAGTTTGGGAACAAGAAGAAGATGGGTTTGGCTGACATGGTCGGGATTGTTTATCGATTTGGGATGGGAATTATAGCGACTCGAGCAGGAAAAGGCAAAGAAGCTGGAAAGCGCCGGGGGTGGAAGTGGAGGATACTGAGAAAATCGACTGACGCAAAAAGTCGGGGTTTCCCCAAGAACGAATTGTCTGGTTAGCTGGTGATGTTTTCTGCTTATATCATACATATGTCTTCTGAATTTGTGTGCTGCCACCTCGGTCGGTGATGTTAAACGGGACATCGACGTTGTTGTCGAGGGAGGTTGTCCCATGTCACCGTGTTGTGCCGGGCTCGTGTTCGATCGATCGTTGACCCGGGTGGTGACCGTTCTCGCGCAAGTTGGGTGGTTGGGTCGACCACAAAGTTCGTGGCGACCCCCTCAGTTTGTGTAAAGGGTTTCTCAAAGGTCTTTATCAACAACGACTTACGTAGCCTCTTATCTTTCAAAGTGCTCTAGTATTCTTACAGTCTCACACTATTTGATTGACGACTGTCGGCCAGCTTGTACAGATCAGCGACGGCATCGAAGCAAAACTCAAGACAACTCGCCTCGTCATCCTCCTTCAAACGACTCGTACCACGACCTCTTCAGGGATTCTTCTTCGAGAGCTGTAACAGGCAATAATAGGACTGCCAAGATGGCGACCTTGCTGGGGGGGAGTAATAATAGGCTGAGGAGCAAGGCCAAGATGGTGAGCCTCGCTGCAGTGACAAATAGCACGAAGTCTTGACGTGGAAGAGAAGGAGCTGACGAGGACGAGGGGTACGGTGAACGTGCTGCTTGTTCGGTAATCGGTGACTCAGAGACCTCCTAGGAATGTGAGTTACAGCTTCAAACACCTAGCTGGGAACCAGGTAGCTTTTAGCTGACATGATGCTATGACCTGTCTTGGTAGTACGCACCGGACCAGGATATAGATGAGATCTGGCAGAAGCTGGCCAAGGCTATCAAGGCGATCCAGCAGCATCACGCCAGTCGACTCAGTTTCGAGGAAAATTATTCTTATGGCTACAAGATGGTCCTACACAACCGTGAGTTCGGCCGGTTTTCTCTCCCTTCAAAGCCTATTAAGCATCAGGCTGATTGTGGTTGTGATCGTAATTGTGTTGCTTGCGGAAACGGTGATATAGACGGAGACAAGCTCTATTCGGGCGTCAGGAAGCTCATAGCCGAACACCTGGACGACCTCGCCGCCAAGGATATAGTGCCGACCTTCCCACGGTCCGGGGTGATGAACAGTAATACCACCCTATCGAACTCTTTCAAGACTCTCGGGCTCGGAAGTTGTAGCGGTAGTGGAAGTGGTAGTGGGAGTGGGGCTGTGGACGAAGCTGGTTCCTCGACGACGACATCAGCGAAGAGCGGGTCAGGGCCGAACGTACAGTCGATAGAGAGTGCGTTGGAAGGGGAGAGGTTCTTGAAAGCGCTCAAGGCGGTTTGGGATGATCATATCTCGAGCATGGACAAGCTGAGCAAGATCTTGAAATACATGGTGAGTCATATTAACGGATCTGTTGCCGCTGCTTATCGTATCTATTGACATCTGGCCATACTGATCTTTCTACCATTCCGTTCCGACGTATATAGGACAAGGTCTATACGAACAACGCCAACGTCCCGCAATGCCACGAACTCGGCAAACGGCTCTTCTCCAGCAACATCATCCACTCGACCTCATTCCCCATCCAGACGATCCTCATCTCCACCCTCCTCGCCCAGATCCAGCTGGAAAGGACCGGAGAGATCATCTCCCGTTCAGCCATGCGCGATGTGGTGGACATCATGGCTCTGCTCGTCGTCCAGGAAAAGGGGAAACGAGGGGTGCATAGCGCTTATGAGGTGGATTTCGAGCCGGTCTTCTTGAGAAAGAGCGAAGAGTTTTACAAGGAGGAGGCGGAGAGCAGTTTACAGGCGCTGGATGCGAGTACATATTTGCGATTGGTAAGTGGGAGCTCGGGGTAGGTCTCGCATCAAACACTGCTAACGGGACTGGATATTGGGTTGTTCTAGGTCGCACGACGGATACAGGAAGAACACGCTCGTTGCTCGGCCTACCTGGTGGCTTCAACAGCGGACAGGCTCTTGCCGATCCTCGATCAACACTTGTTAGCAAACCACCTGGAGACTATCCTCAATATGCCCGGGTCTGGCTTGGTCACGATGATCGACGACGACAGGATAGCAGATCTGCATCGGCTATACGAACTATTCGGACGACCGCGAATACCAGAAGGGTTGGAGGTGTTGAAAATCGCCATGAAAAAGACGATTCAAGCGAGAGGGAGCGGTATCAACGCGTCCGTCTTGAGCGGGGGAGAGGTGAATCAAGAGGGACCTACAGCGGAGACACCGGCACGGGAAACGACAACATCAGAGACGGGCTCGAAGCCGAAGAAGCCGACCCTTTCGGGAGCGGCGGCGGTGGCGGCGGCGCTCCGTTGGGTTCAAGAGGTCGTCGATCTCAAGGACAAGTTTGATAGGGTCTTGAAGGAGGCTTTCGAGGAGAACAAGGGGCTTCAGATGGCCATGAACGAGGTGGGTCCGGCAGCTTGCAAGTTGATGATTCGCATAGAATGGCTTACAAATACACACGTCGGATACGCAGGCATTTCAAACGTTCATCAACCAGAACCCACGGTGTCAAGAGTTCATCTCGTTATTCATCGACGAGAACCTCAAGAAGGGGCTCAAGGGGGTAAGTATTAGAACCTGGCCAGAGAAACAGTCATTGTCGCCTGACACCCACAACATGTCACATAGAAAACGGACGAAGAGGTCGACGCCGTGCTGGACAAGACCATCGTCCTGTTCCGTTTCATCATCGACAAGGACGTCTTTGAGCGTTACTACAAGGCTCATCTGGCCAAGCGTTTATTGAACGGGAGGAGCGTTTCAGAAGATGCCGAGAGGAACATGGTGGCCAGGCTCAAGGTAGAATCGTGAGTACGGGCGGTCCAGACGGATATCTTATGTTTGCTGGCTAATAAAATTACACGTGGGCAAACAGCGGCTATCAATTCACGCAAAAGCTCGAGGGAATGTTCAATGATATGCGTCTGTCGACCGAGATGATGAATGGGTATCAGAGGACGAAGCACAACAAGCCCGAGGCGAGTTTGAAATGCTTGACATTATCCGCCTCGCGTGGACTGACAGATATTGCAACTCTAGACATCCGCACCCGATCTCAATGTAACAGTCTTGACATCGACATTCTGGCCTGGGGAAGGGACCGCTACTACCTGCGTCTTCCCTCCAGCTCTCGGTGGCAGCATCTCCGAATTCGAGCGCTTCTATCACAACCGACATTCTGGACGACGGTTGACGTGGCAGTCTAATCATGGTACTGCCGACGTCAAGGTCGCATTCAAGGCTCGCAAACACGAGCTCAACGTCAGCACGCATTGTCTGGTCATCCTGTTGATGTTCGAGGACCTCGAAGACGGCGAGGAATTGAGCTTACAGGTAAGTCAAGGTTGAGCATAGGTTGCGCTTGCTTCCGTATTCATGATTTTCTACTCGCCCTCACAGGACATCAAAGCGGCAACGAAAATTCCTGACGGTGATCTCGCTCGGAGCCTACAATCACTAGCCTGCGGCAAATTTAGGATCCTGACGAAGAACCCCAAAGGGCGGGATGTCGGGCCGAATGACAATTTTTCGTTCAACTCCGGTTTCACCTGCCCATTGGCCAAGATCAAAATCCAGACCATTGTCGGCAAAGTCGAGAACAACGAGGAGCGAGCAGAGACACAGGAGCGGGTCGACGAGGAGAGGAAACACCAGATCGAGGTAAGCTCACTCAGGAGCCCGGTTACCAAACCGAGTCATGCCGGTGGTTCTAGACTGATCATTCGGTCTCCATCCGCGCCTCAGGCCTGTATCGTACGAATAATGAAAGCGAGGAAGACACTTTCCCATAACGAGCTGGTCGCCGAAGTCGTCCGACAGTTGATGACGCGGTTCACCCCGACACCTGCAATCATCAAGAAACGAATCGAGGGTTTGATCGATGTAAGTCTGATAGGACCCGTGATTGGTCCGCGAAAAACAGTCGGCCTGACAAAGTCGTTCTTCTTCGCCGCTTTCATAGAGAGAGTACCTTGAACGTAATGACATGAAGAACTATAGCTATCTCGTGCGTGTCATTTGCGATCACCTGCGCTTTCCTAAACGAAGATAAGAACTGACGACTCTCGTGTTTCACAGGCATGAACAGGTTGTCCATGGCCCACTTAAGTATCGATATGACCGACATGACACGACACCCGTTGTACCTGACGAATTCTGCACCTGTAATGCAAGGGGGAAAGCTGTGAAATCGAGCTCAGTTCCCTCTTCGCAGGAAAATCCTTTTGCTTATACGATTTCGCCCGAATGGCAGCCATTTGTGGTTGTTCAAAATTCAGAGCGAGACGCAGACATACAGCCAGCGAGTCGAGCAAATCCGGCAGCCAATGATAAGGGTAGTCGTAGGAGGTGGCACCGTATACGATTCTGTATAAGTGTCCTGATTCGATGGTGTTGGAGGGTAGGCCTCGGGCGAGGGTGTATGTCCGATCCGATAGCTCTTTCAGCCTGCGTACCACGCACTTGTACTATAAGCCATCAAATATAGACACCCATCGGATTCCTGCGCTCGCCCCGTCGTCGATCTCCAGGTCACCAGGATCACTAGCGTGCTGTCGCAACCATATCATATGTGTCAGTCGACAATATTCAGTTCAAATTGGCTATCGCCACGAGGACCAAAAGTACCACCTCTCAGCCCCGCCCCAGCACCACCAGACCTGCTACCGCCTCTCGTACTACTACCACCACTACCACCCCTCAGCCCCGCCCCAGTACTAGTACCTCTCCAACCAATTGAACCGGTCCTCTCCCTACTACTACTCCTCCAGCCGATACCCCCTCTCAGCTCCCCGCCAGTACTAGTACCTCTCGAAGCAGTCAAACCGTTACTACTACCACTACTATCACCCCGTCGTCTTCGGTATCTATGGGGCCGGCTAGACACAGGGAACGGCCGGTTCGCTTGCAGCCGGTCTTCGAACACATGATGCAAAGGCTGATCGGTAGGCCACCGATTGTTGAACCGCAACGATAGATGGTACAACGTAAACGGATTCGAACATCAATGCTCTGAGCGAGGATCTTTTTATCGAGAATGGTCTGGACGATGTGCAGAAGCGCCGCCAGGGCCCCTTGCATCGGACTCTCGGGTGCCGTTTGGTTTTTCTGCTCGATTTGATTCGAACGGGCCTTGACGATGTCAAGAGTGTCTGGCTGAAGCGCGCCCGCGATCACCTCCAGGCAGGTCTATGTTTGTCCGGTAACTTGTTAGCTCCCGAGAGCTGTGGCAGGGTATAAGTAAAGATGCCGGCGGCAAGACCCAGGTCGAGACCCTGGTAGAATACGATCGAAGGTTCAATCGTATAAACGGTCAAGTTGTGACCGGCCGGAAGCTCGAGTTGATCGCCACCACGCAGGACAACAAGGTCCGATCCTGTGTTGTGATCTACCCGGCGAAAATTGTAGCACGGCAAGTACGGCTGGCTAGATGGGAAGGGTAGGGATGGCATCTCACACCTCACACTTACCCACCCTCCCTCCGAGCGCCACGTACATCACCCCTCCCGAGCACACTACACTGGCCCCAAGCGTCTCCTATTTGCTATTTGAAAGCGCCTCTTCGTATATCAATCCCATCTGCCGTTTGGCGAACCCGCCTCTGGCCTCTGGTCTGAACGGAACGCAGATTATGTATTATGTACTGGGCTCGTTGGATCACTGCTCATCGATCGCTACAGTATCGGTAATCACCACGGCCCGTTGCTCGCATTGCTCGTTGTTCACTGCTCGTAGATCTATTCTGTGGGATATGTTAGAACTCAAGATATTGCTTTATCAATGGCATGTGCTATCAGTCAATACAAAGGTACTGACCTGTTAGAACTCAAGATATTGCTTGAGATCTAACAGTCAAGTGGTGTATATTGATGATCTAGTTGTCCGAGATTTTCATCACCGGGGTGAGGTCCCAGCTTGGGTGATGCTGTTACGGCGGAAGTCGCTAATCGAGATAGGTCCTAAGTCGTAAGGCGTAGGGTCCTTATAGGTAGATCGCAGGTAGTCGGGAGAATGTCGCAAGTCCGCTTAGATGAAGCGGATTCGGATAAGGGATACGAATCCAGAGATGTATGGATAAGGAAGGTGATCACTCGGTGTGAGGTACCGGATTCGGTCTAAGGTAAAACGATGAAGCGTAGATACTTAGCGACGTCCTTGAGTTGTAACCTCTCCGCAACACGTCTTGAAGATGTTGTAACAAGTCAGATAGGCGTGTATTGAATGTGATATCGGAACTTGACCTATTACTATTACAGAGCGTCCTCTATCGAATTCGGTCAAGTTCCTCTAGCTATTTATACGGAGACGAGTACGGAGACGAGGCTGGCGAACACTGAAAAGACCCAAGAGAAAAGAATGGCGCGAGATGGCGAAACTGGAAGAACGAGATGGCGAACAGACAAATCCTGTCGAGAGCAACCGGATTCGGTAGAGGAGGCGAGTTTGAGTTCTCATTTGTCCCTAGGTACGTCGAGTAAGGTTGGCGAGGTCCTGAGTAGAGTTGTCGTGTACCTCGAGGTCCTTGTACCTGTGTGTGATATGTGTCGGGAAGGTTTGTTGTTTCGGTGAATGGTGAAGGCGAATGGTGGGGGCGACCGAATCTGCTCCGAGGGAATCGGATTCGCCTCGTCGAGCCGGACTTAGGTGTATGCTGATGTCCGTAGATCGAGCCTGTGTGTCGGTAGTCGACTCACGTGATGATCCCGTAACAGTATATCCCCCTCCGGAATGGCGCGCCCCGAGCCATCGTGTTTCAAGTATTGATCGCATCAATTTGTTTGATGATTGTCTACGACGCGTTTGTTTTGATTTGATGGCGACCGAATTTTCCATTTCGCTAAGGCCCATCGACTCGCGTCGAGTGGGGGGTATAAGCCGGATCCGTTTCGATTGAAGCGAATTGTGCACTTCCTTTCTCGAAGATATTCAACGATGCCGTCTCCTGACGTATCTCCCAAGATTGAGGAACGCTCGACTCCTTCTCGAGCCTCGACCGTGAATCCAGGAGACTCGGCTTCTCGTTCGTGTGATTCGAGTCGATTCGGTTCCTTTGCGTAAACTGACCTAATTCCGCTTTGTGTATAGAAGTCAACCAGGTCTTTTCCGGAGGAATTTTTGATTTCGAAGAACTCCGCAATATGGACGACACGGACGAGATCGACCAGAACCTGGCCTCGAATATAAGGGGGCTGTCGGTGACCCGATCGGGGTTGGAAGGTAAGCAGATTCGGTTCCGAAAGGCGGTTTCGTTTCGCTGAACTTGTTGGGTTTTTCGCAGGTGGTGAACCGGCTCGTCGGGAAGGGCTCTACGGGGAAGCTCGTAGGCCGACTGGACGCCCGGTATCGGGCGAGGACGTTGCCATGACCGGGCAACCTTTAGATTCGGTCGACAAGGAACCGGTTGCGGGGCCGAGTGCGGGTGAGTAAAGCGAATCTGCTTGGATTCTGAATCGATAATTCGTAACCTGATACTATGTCTATTCTTGCTTGATTGTAGCTGTCGTGTCGCCGCCCAGGACTCCTCGAGGGAGGTCGATTCAGCGGAGTCGACAAGGACGACACAGCGCGAGGTCGAGTCGAGGGAGAGGAGCCGCATCGGCGGGTGCGAGGGTCGACGTCGAGAACATCGATTTGGGGGGTGCTCTTGTGCGCCAACGGTCGGTGAGCCCGGAACCCGGTAAGCGTTTTTGTTTGGT